CGTCGCCATGTCGTCCGTTCGAAAACAAATTACATCAGAAAATGCTACTAGTATAATAATAGTAACATGTTCACTCGACATAATATGTAAGCGTCAGAACGTAGCGAGTTCGTTGGGTACATAGTCCTCTCAACTGGATTACACAACTGAAACCGCCAGTTTTTCTTTAAGGCAGACAGTTAGGAGGTGGCAAATAAATAAAAAATTCAAAAGACATTTGTGCCTAATCCCACGACTTACAGTGTAGCTCTGGTAGGCACCTCTAATAGTCTCATACAGGTCGACAAAGTGCGGGAGATTGGCGAAATAACCGTAAGAGTTCCTACTTCCCGGAACGATTATTTCATCTGTTGCTAAAAAAAGAAGAAATCAACTGAGAATGACTGCAAGATGAATTGGTGGAACAAATTAGTCATTTTTAAAATACTCAAAATCTCAAAAGCAACGTTGTGCTATTTTACTAAACAAAAAAACACCCAAGCGTTATCACATACCGTCGTCAAAAGTAGGCTCGACAAAGGGAAATCCGAATTTTGATGCTCCCGACGATCGATTGTCTGTTGAGCGCACACCCTGAGTGGCCTTGGGTTGTCCAATGGGAGCGCTGGCGACGGGAGTGGTGCCCGTGCCGAGGAAGGAGCCCTGAACCATTTCCGTAAGGAAGTTGGGACTCGCCGGTTTCTCGCCACGAAAGACGTGCCAAAAGATGGAGAGCAACCTATGTTTTAAAAAATAACTACTTGTTAGTGGTTTAAACATTAGGTCGTTCCGAAAAGAACTGACAAATTTTTCGGCTCATTTTAGAAATTGACAGTAATTGCTATTTTCCCAGTGTTTTAGCCAAACATTTACATTAATAACTTATGTGTGCTCTTTAATAAATTCTCTATATATTCTTGCACAGTACACTTTTGAAGAACATAGGTCTGTGAGAACCATGAAGAAAAATGAAGCAGTGCGTTTACTTTCCTTGCATCAGTTCGAACTCGATCATACTGCTTCCCAAAGTGCAAGAAGATAGAGGACGAAAATGTACTCGCGGCAACTTTTAAGAAAACTTACGTCAAAGTGTCAGAGAACTGTCTTAGATACTTGATGGCGGTATCTCCAGAAATTGGTCTCATTTTGGCTGAATTTCAAGTGAAGAGTTGAGTGTTTTTAAGTGTTTCCGGTGCTACCCCTCTCTCCCTCTCCTCGAAAGTCTCATTATTCATTACTTGATCGACTTTTGACAAGTCACAAAAAGTGCATCACTTACGATAACCGTAGGGGATCAAAGTCAGGGCTTTGTTGTGCCGAAGCACTCAAACATCTGGAAGTAAACTTGAGTAATAAGAAGGGTATTTTTCAGGACGATGCTCTGCTATCGAACTCGTTGATAAATGTTCATCGATCGCTAACTCACTCGTCCCGTGCTTCCTTGGGGTTCATTGTCGAGCCCCGATACCAGCCGCACGGCGGCTAGTAATCTAGACATACAGCGTGGCTGGCAAGGACAAGGGATACTGAAATGGTCATTTCTGGCTCATAAGCCGTCATCAGCCAGCCATAGCATGCACCAAATAGTGCCCCATCCGAGGCTCGAACCCGTGATCTCTTGATCAGAAGTCTGACGCTCTAACCACTGAGCCAAGAATCACCGTTGGCGCGCCATTAGGGGTCGGGTATGGCTAGCTGATCACGGCTAAGGAGCCATTCCAGTCTCCCTTTTTCCTGCCAGCAATGCTACCAGCTTTCTCGA